CCACCACGTTACAGACGTTGCTCTCGTTGTGGAACTGACCACCATTATGGAGATAGTTAATTATTAATGTTGTTATGAATTTGTTATCATATTTGTTAATGCACTTTGTCTTCATCATTGTTACCTTAGTAATATGAAACCGTTAATATTAAAATATTTGTCTCAAGTATAAATAACTAACTTATAATTTAATATTTTATTTAATTTTTAAAAATAATTTTTTTATTCTCAAATAAAATTTATTTAAAATTATAATAGTAAATTTTTTGAGTTTAGGGTATTAAAAATTATAATATTAAATAATTTCATTTTAAAAAAAACTAATTTAATTAAAATAAAATTTTAATTCAAAATTTCATTTTATCATATTAATATTTAAAAATATTAAGTCAAAATTACATATTTAAATAAATAAATAAATAGAATAATATTTAATATTTTTATTTAATTTTTAAAAATATAATTTATATTCTTTAAATATAAAAATTTTAAGCATTAATATTATTATCTAAAATAATATACTTATTATTTAAATATTTTAATTAGTTTTTAAAAAATATAATTATTATTAGTTTCTAAAAATATTATTTATTATCATAATTATGTAAATTTTTTTAATAAACATGTAAAATAAATATTATTTTTATTTTTATTTATTTTCACATAATAGAATATAAATATAATTTAAATAATAAAATTTATTTAATTATTTAATAATATTAAAAAAATTGAAAAAAAATTAAAACTTAACTTCTAAAATTTCGTGGCGACCGAATTCTAGCTACTCAATTACTGTTACAGTTATTGGATCTAATTCTGTAAATTTTTTACGGTACAGATCCATTCAATTAATTTTATTTTTTTTATATTATATTATTAAAAACTTCGTAAAAATAATAACAGAGTGATAAGTTGTATTTCTATTATTCAGTTCACTGTAGAAGACAATGATAATAGTGACTAATTTTAAATATTTTTAAAATATTAAAATTAAATTTTAATAACAAAAACATAGTTAAGGCTTTATGAACGTGGGAAGGCAGCAAAGTCTGACACGGACCTGCGCTTGAGCTTCATAATCTGAATTATCATCTTCTTCAACCCTCGAAGGAGGCAAAATGTCAAGCTTTTCGTCTGTTGACTTTGGCAGCCTTGTCTTACATCACAGAGTCCCACATGTCTTTTCCGTATCATTCTCTGTTTTGTTAAATTTAATTCATAAATTAAACACTTAGTTATAATAGATTTTATTTAATAAAAAATATTCTTTTTTCATTAGCATAATCATATCATTGTTTTTAATAAAATAGAAAATTTAAATAAAAATTCATTCCATTACTATAGTAATTCCCTATATAGGTTATTAGAGTAGTGTAAATTTATTGTTCAATAATATTTTTTACGATATATATATAATTTATGTAACTTTTTCCATAATAATACGACCCACAGTGAGTCGCATTTTTCATCTTTTCCAACTCTCACACGTCAGTCACACTTTAGTTAAATAACGGTAGCTCATTTATGCTACTATCCCTTATGTGCAATTATCACCTCATCTCGTACTACAAGACCTACTTATTTTATATTTAAAATCAAATTTTCCCGTTATAACATATATTATAATAATTTAAATTTTATAAAAATTAATTTTGCTCAGTTTTAAAACAAATAGATTTGTATTGATTAGTACAACAGTTTCTTCTAAAAGTAATTAATGTCTTTGCGTCTTAATTTATCTAATAACTTTTTTTACTAGTGACAAGTTTTATGTAATTTTTTTGTTTATTTTATTTATATAAATTTTAACTAGTCTGTCGTGTTAAGTTAAAATTGAAAAGAATTTAGATTCATTATTTTTTTCTTTTATATTAAAAATTCTTAAATATTATTATATTTGAGTGCATTTCTTTTATAAAATTTCAGCATTGCAAATTTTGCATAATTATATTATTTGACTTAATTATATATTTGTATTTGTACAACGCATGTTTTGGTCTTTCATTTTTTTTAAATATTTTTTATATTTTAAAATTAAATAAATTTAGCTTTATTGTTAATTTTTCATACCCAAAACCCTTAAACTATATTTTTATCTAATTACTCGAGGACTTATGATAAATTTGGAAAGAAAAATAATTTTAAAAGCTTAATAGTTAGAAATTTAGTAAAAATTTGGTGCTTTTGACATGTTTTATAAATGTAATATTACGATTTTATTTATTATTATTTTATATTTTTGGGGTGAAATTTAATATTTTAGTTATTTAATTTTGAATAAAATAAGGTTTAAATCAATTTAATTAATTTGATTTATGGTTTATATAGAAAATGATAACTGAAGGTTTTAAAAACAAAAAAATTAATAATAAGGCTGAATTTGCTTAATTTTAAATACAAAATTTTAATTAGATTTAAAAAGCTTAAAAATAATTACATATATTTTAAATTAAAGAAATAAAAATATAATTAGTTTTATATTTTTATAATAAATTTACGGGGCACCTTCTTATTATTTTATGCAACTTTGAAAACTCCTTATTTTGATGTTGTATCTTTGAAAGAATTATTCTACCCCGTTCTATTCCACCCCTTTGATGCTTTTCCACGCATGTAAAGCCACTGCTCCTTCCATTTGACTATACGTTAGTTCATTCTAATGTCCAAGTAAATTTAGTACTGTTATTGTTTGTTTGTTGAAACAAGTTAAGAAACTTCGACTAGAAATGCTCATGGGATTATTCTTCTTTTATGAAAGGAAATTATACTTTACTTCTGCACTTTCTGAACTTATCACTTATATGTTTTTTTATTTTTAACTTTTACTCTTAAACTATGAAATATAATCATATTCAGATACTCAGGATGAAAAACAAATTCAAATAGTTAGAGATTTACGATGGATTTGGGAAGGAAGATAACTTTAAGAGTTCAAAATTTAGTAAGAAATTGATAAATAATTTAGTAGAATGTTAGCATATGATTTGTGGAAAAAATAGTTTCTTTTACTATTTCTGTTAAATTTAATATTTTAGCTGATAAATTTTATGAGAAGAAATGTATAAAATGACTTAATCAATTTAAGCTATGAATATTTAGAGAGAAAAAATTGATTGATAAATTTAATTGTAACAGTTTTTAAAAAATAACATATTAAATATTACAAAATAGATAAATACTAACTAAGATGTTGGTTAAAGAATTTAAGGTAATTTTTTTAAATATATTATTAATGAACCTTAATTGTAAATTTTAATATAGTTTAACATCATTTTTGAATTTTATTAATATTTTTTAACTGGTTTGCAAAATCTAAAAATATATTATAAATTTATACAATAACAATAAAGAAATCAACAAAATAAAACAATTTGCCTATTTTGGCTCAGATTAATAGGTGAAGTTGACCTAATAATAAAACAACAGTTATTAAAAATTATGGACACAATATGTGTTTCTTAGAAAGTTTATATTTAGGAGTTTCAATTAAATATTTTATATGTATTTCGCTTTTCATGTAAATACATAACTTATTTATTTTGTGAAGCATTTTAATTTTTTTATCTCATATATATATATATATATATATATATATATATATATTAACTATTTATTAAGTTGAAGAGGTTATCAGTTTTCTATATATGTGTATACTAAAACGTTTTTATTAATAAGGGATGGATCTTTCGATGTTGGTTTTTAAGGAATAAACGTGTAAATCAAAATTCAATTGATACATTAACAAACTTTAGGTTTAAAAGAAGGAAACGGAGGTGAGGAATTTTAATGAAGAGAAACAAAATTAATAATAAAAAAAAACCTTGTTTGATTCACGAGAGAAATAAATAAATAAATTTATTATTATATGTTTATAATGATAAATATAATTATTAAATTATGATGATTTTGTTTAATTAATTTAATAATTTTAAATTATTCATTTTTTTTAGAGATGTTAAAATTAAATAATATTTTATTTCTAATCAATGTTTTATTTTACTGGTGAACATTAGAAGAATAGAATTCTTCGTTATAGTTCAACTTCAAAAATATAGATTAAACAACTCCCTACTGGTTTAATTTATATATTTAGCGATAATAAATATTTTTGATATATTTAAAAATTAGAAATATTTATTAATAAACTTCCAATTATATATTATAAATTGCAATTCAAATTTATTGTCTAAGCAAATGAATATATTTTCATTAATTATGTTCAATTTACTTGTTGATGGGATATATCATATTTATATTTCTTTTCACGGGGACTTTTGAATAAAAAAATCATAACTTTTATATTTTATTATTACCAATTTATTTTTCTAATCCATATAGATACATACATTTCCCTTTTCTATTTTTAAAATTAAAGTATTCTATATTATATTAGTAAATAGTTTTTATTTTAAAATTTTTAAAAATAATTATAATAAAAATGTTGAAAAAATTTGAAAATCATAAATTTATGGATAAAGTGAGACATATTGGAATAATAATAATAATAATAATAATAATAATAATAATAACAATAAAAGTATTCCTTAAAAAACAGTGATGAAAGGAGGAGTTGCGGAGGAAATGGGAAAGGAAATTGAGATGGGAACGGAAGGGAAAAACGGGAAGGAAAGGGAAGAGGAATGGTAATCCTCTTTATCGGTATCCGTATGGTGTCAATGGAAGTCAACTTGAGCATATGCAAATTGCAAATACTGTCAAAACCATCCTCTTCCCTTTTCAAACATTGCCATTCACCACACGCCTACTCCTACTCCTACTCCTACATCAATGAAAACCTTTCACGTGGACCCCATAACTCACAAAAAGGTCAACGTCTTCCACTCAAATAAAATCCGTTTTCTCTCCGTTCACTCACGCTGTTAGTGTTAGATCTTACTCCCAATCGCATCTATTACATTTGACGGTAACACCCCAGTCGCCCCCAGTGGACCAATCCTAATCCTATTAGAATGACTATACCCCCCATTTTGACCACCCTACCCCCACCCTTTCTCTTTTGTCAACACCTTCTTACCCCCTTTCTCTTATTTCATTCATTCGTTCATTCTATCCTCTCTCTCTTTTTCTTCTTCTTAGATGGTGTAATTGCTGCAACTATGGCCGTGGAGCTCATGATGGGTTACAGGAACGAGAGTTTCACCAGCAAAGCCGAAGAGAATGCGGTTCAAGAAGCTGCATCTGGTTTGGAGAGCGTCGAAAAGCTCATAAGGTTGCTCTCTCAGACGCAGACACGTCAACAATACAACTCTTCTTCTTCATCTTCCAATAACCAAATCGAGAGGGACTGCAAAGCCGTCGCTGACGTGGCAGTTTCCAAGTTCAAGAAGGTCATTTCGCTTCTGGGTCGAACCAGAACCGGTCACGCTCGATTCAGAAGAGCCCCTTTGCCTCCACCGAACCAAACGCAACCTTCTGAACCCACCCCTTTTCATGCCACCCCTTTGCAGCAGATCCCACCCACCATTCACCAAATCCCCAAAAACGGAATCACCCAGAGGGCCGTTAACGTCAATGATTCCTCTTCCAAGACCATTAATTTCTCTTACTCCTCTTCTTTCATCTCGTCCCTCACCGGCGACGCCGACACCAAGCAACCGGCTGCGTCATCACCGGCCGCCGCGGGGACTTTTCAGATCACGAATCTCTCTCAGGTGTCGTCGGCGGGGAAGCCTCCGCTTTCGTCCTCTTCGATGAAGAGGAAGTGCAGCTCTGAGAATTTGGATTCTGGCAAGTGTGCTAGTTCCTCTGGCCGTTGCCATTGTTCCAAGAAGAGGTACTGGGTCTCTTCAATATCGCTCTTTTTTCGTTTCTAATGTAATTTTTAATTTGGATTTTTTGTTCTCATGTTTTGGATTTTCCTTTGACAGTAGGAAAATGAGGTTGAAGAGGATAGTGAGGGTACCAGCTATTAGCTTGAAAATGGCTGATATTCCCCCAGATGATTATTCTTGGAGAAAGTATGGACAAAAACCTATTAAAGGATCCCCACATCCAAGGTAAATCATCTTTTTAAAATTTTATAACCATTTATCATTTTTTTCCTTTTCTGTGAGTTATGTGTATCTGCCAAGTGCCAACTTAAACTTGTTGGTTGCCTCTTCAATTTCAAAATATAGAGTGGACCCGATCTATTTAGTTTCCTTTTATGTTCGATGTGTGCTTTTTTATTTTGAGTACCTAATGAATTGGGGGAGTGAGTGGTACTAAAGTTGAGTTGTTTTTGGGAACAATTACAGGGGTTACTACAAGTGCAGTAGCGTTAGGGGGTGTCCAGCGCGCAAACATGTGGAGCGAGCCTTGGATGATCCATCTATGCTGGTTGTGACCTATGAGGGAGAGCACAATCACACTCTCTCTGCTGCTGATGCTACTAATCTCATTCTAGAATCGTCTTAAAAGTCTTTCGAGTCAATCATCTTTTTTCGTGACAAGGCATTAATTAATCAACGTTACAATATTTCAGGGGGGAGGGGGGGAATTGATGGCTTGTAGAATTGCAGCTTTACTCAAAGTCAGGGCTTTAAAAAATTAGTGGGTGTTCGTTTCCCTGTACAATATTGGATTCCCTTTATCTTTCTCGTTCTCATCAAGGCTGAAACATTGTGTGAATCCATTACCATCATAATTAAAGAAAATTGTCAAAATGGTGGATTTGTTGACGGATTTGAATCTCAAAAGTGAAAAAAAAAGAAAAGCAAGTGGGTTTTATTCTTTTTTTGCTTTCCTCAATTTAGTTACTTTATCTTTGGTGCTTATCTTGGATTCTCATTATTTCTCAACTTTTATGGGATGGGTTTCAATGCTCAACGGGCTTTTCTTTTGAATTTTTAGAGAGTAAAGTGAAGAAAAAGCAATGAAAGGGACCTAGTCAAAGCATTGGACAGAAGAGGACGGACATGTCGTGTATAGGACGGTTGACTAAAAGAGAGAGAGAGAGAGAGGGGTTGGGAGTTGCTAGTTGGGACGGCTAAATGAATGAATGAATGAAAGTGGGTGATGCGGTAGGAAAAGGAAAGGGTGAGGGAGTTTTTAATGCAAAATTTGTTAGACCCTTCGTCTTCTAGGAAAAAGGTTGGCTAAGAATTGGGTTTGGATGCATTGAAGAGAGAGGTTGGATGGTGTAGAATGGCTCTTGTGGGAAAACCGATGGCAAAGTCAAAATGGGTGGGTGTGGAATTGATAAGTTCTAGCACCGAGAAGGGTCCTACCTTGTTCGCAATTTTGTTCTTTTCCTTCCTTTGCCTTTGCCTTAACGTCAACTTTGTTGCGCGGATAGGGTCCCCCCCTTGGCTCATTTTATCATTATCGATTTCATTATTCACACATGTGGCTCCCCCAATCATGCACATAAAATACCATTCTTCTGTCTTCCCATTGCTTCTTCCGATGCAATTCGTGACATTTGCTGATTAAGTTCTATATCGTAGGATCCAAATCTAAGTACAATTTCAGTAAGTATGAACACGCTTTTTTTATATTAGCCGAATAAACTCGACGTAACGGGTCTTGTTAACTATACATAAGACATGTTACTCACGTTATTTCTACGGAAAGAGAAGGTTGCAAAACGACCGTAAAGCTCCAAGTCGTATCAACTTTGTCAACTCTTTAAATTGTTCTCGCTCTCTTTCAATTTCCTACATAATTCAATGCGTTATGTATCAAATTTCTAGGGATTAATCTGATGAATAAATACGTTATGTAACTAATTGGACATAATTCTGTGTGAAATTCCCCAAAAGTTTCATTTTCTGGGTTAGGTACATAATTTTGATGGAAAAGCGATTGTTTTGCACCTAAAACAAAATAAGTGGACGAAAGAGAGAAACAAGAAAGAAAATAAAAATTACAATAGAAGAAAGAAATAGTAAAAGATGTGATGTATGGCATGGATGATAAACAAAATGAGTAAAATTCGATAGAGTTGATTTCAAAAAAATTAGGAGAGAAATTACATTAGAACATGCATTTTTTCAATTTCTAAAATGCAATAATTGATTATCTAACTGTAAAACAAACAAATATCTGCTTGCATACTTCGGTAGCTTTGTTTTTGAATTTTATTTTTTTATAAAAAAGAATTGCTTTTATCCTAAACTGTAAACTCACGTATTGAAAACCATGTTCATTCATTGAGCGGTTATCGAAACGAGCACTTAAACAGTTAAATGGGATTAATATTTGTATAAATTAATGCAAATCACATAATTGCATTTGAAGGTGTATTTTTCATTAAAATGTGCAAGAGCTTAGTTTGTTTTTGATATAATCTGGGACTAATTTTGAAAAGAAAAAGGATAAATCTTGCTAATTTATAAGACATTAGTTAAAGAATTAATAAATTTTTATAAAATGTTAATTTAACAAATCTAATCGTTGAATTTTTATATTATATTTATAATATTGTATATTAAAACTTTACACTATTTAAACATATGTACTTAGGTTATCTAAAATTTAACATTTTTTTTATATTTTAAAAATATATTATTCATTTAAAATAAAATAATGTCATAAAATACTTATTATTTTTATATTTTTATAAAATTTTATAGAATTGATCTATTTGATATAAATATTCAAATCAATAATTAGATTTGTCAATATCAAATTTTATAAAAAAAATCATTAAATACTGTAACGTTTGGTGTTAATCTATCTTCATTAATATATAGTTTGATCTAAAGAATATTAATATAATTTTAGAAGATTTTTAGCCTATTAATTCTAATAAGAGAGAATAAAGAAAAGTTTTTATAAAAATTTTCACATAAATTTGTTTTTACAATTTTGTTAAATGTTTTATTATTATATGATCGGAAGTGAGAAAATAATATAAAATTTCAATACAGGTGTTTTATCATATCAAAATTCACATTTTTATTTAATATAAAAAAATTCACATTTTAATTTAAACAATTTTGATAAGAAAAAGAAGACAATTAAACAGTTATCATTGATTATAAACAATAATTTTAGCTTAATTATTTATAATTAGTTTGTATAAAATAGTAAATTGTTGTAATCTAAACTCTTGAATAATTAAGCAATATTATATGTTTCAACTAACCTTTGGTCGCATGCTTACTTGTATTGAGAGCCAAAGCGATGAGAACAAAGACTCTGGTATAAAAAATGATAAAACAAAGGGCTATCGTAAATATCCATTATGTAATACTAAACTATTATGGTAGTTATTGCTTACTACGGTTGTTTCTCTTTCGACAGCGTGTTTTTAGTTTACAAAATTCGTAACAATTTCCTGCCAAAGTGCTTAGATTTCAACTAACCTTTTATTGTTTATGACTTATGACACATTCATAACTAGTGGTCAGCCTTCTTAACTTCATAAGGCGAAATATATTAATTTAAAAAAAAACTTAACCACAATCTATAATTAATAATAAAATTTTATTTTAAAATATTATTATAATATTAATATTAATTTTTAGTAAAAATTTGCTATTTGAGTGCTTAAAATCAACCATAAAAATTAAGATAAACAAAACTGATTAGTTTAAACTTACATATAAAGATGACAATGTGTAGGGTCTTCGTAGAATATTATAGGATCGATTAAATAAATGTTTAACTTATTTATTTGATGTAATTTTTGTGGATACTTAATAGGCATAGGATCGATTGTCATCTCTGCTGGGTGACTCTTATTTCGGTTGACCAAAATAAAAAACACGTGACTCTTGTTTTTAGTTAATGGACAAGAAGACCGAAAGATTTGGGTCATGTGACTAAAGAGACTTGTAAAACAAAGTTGTTGTACCTTTTAAATAATGTAATTAAGTTGTTAAGAAAGTAGTGGGGGTAGGAACTGCAAGTAAATTATAATTTAAGAAAGCTGTACGTAGACATTGTAATTGGATTCGGTAGCTCCCTTAGGCTTTTGCTTTTATCCTATGAGATCTCTGCCAAGAGGATTCAATTAGGACCCCATGCAAACAATTTCTTGCAACATCTCCTTTAAACTAATGTTTAAAATGCAGCCCAAGAAAAGAACGACAAAATCCTGGTCTTCGGCTATGTCCACCTGCTTTGCTAGTTATTTCACTTATGGCTGGTAATCCATAATTAATTTTAAATGTTTTAATAAAGTGGAGATATGTTAAACTGATTTTTTGTTTGTAATAATTTTTTAATTGAATTAGTGTTTACGGTAAAAATTGTAAGTTGTAAATAAATAAACCAAGATCAATCTGGGAAATAAATTTTAGGTTATCTTAGATTCTTTTAAGTGTATTTGTTAATTTACTGATTCAAGTTATCACTGCAAAGCATGGATTTAAGAAGGAATAGTAGAACAATGATGGAACAAAAAATAATATTACACTAAACATAAAAGAGTTTACAGAACCATACTAAACAAGAGCGAAAATGCATAAATAGAAATGGGAAACAAACTAAAAATAAAATGGAAAAACGTAAATGTGTAAAGTAAATAATGTACGATTCCTAACAACAATGAACACTAATGACTGTGAATCTCTTGATAGCTGGTGTTTGACTCGGTGCAAAATTTCAGCATGCAGAAAGTTTAGGTATAGTGTCTAGGTACAAAAAAGTCGTCCTTTGGAAAATGAAGCTTTGTAGTATTTATAGGTAGATGGACCACCACCGTGCTCCTCTTTTTGTGGATACTTCTCAATAACTACCTTCTATATGTGCTTGTCTTCAATTGCTGCTGCCTATTATCCACGATTGCTTCTGATCATGCTGACTGTGGTAGCTTCTTTCATAACTGCTATAGCCCACAATCTTTCTTTGTTTCTTGAACCTTCAACTGATGGTAAACGCTGATAATGCTAATGACCGCTTTTAGTCTTGTAATTCTTTTGATATCACTCTTTTAGCCCTATCATGTCTCTTGTGAACTTATAATATTTTTCTTGTGATTTTCTATTTTTTGAGCAATTTGGGGAGAAATCTGATAGCTCATTCAATCTTTCTTGTGGACTTAGAATAATTTTTCTCTTAATTTCTATTTTTTGACCAATTTTGGAAGAAATTTGAGAGCTTATTCAATCTCTTGAACTTGAAATAATTTTCTCATCAATTCTTGTTTTTTGAGTAATTATGAGGGAAATCTGAGATTTCCTCAGTTTTGTGGACTTCGAATATTTTCCTTGTCAGTTCCTATTTTTTAACCAATTTTGGGTGTTAGGAACTTAAAAATACTCAAAAACTCCTTGAAAGACTTTTAGTCTTGTGGACTCAGAATATTTTCTTTGTTAGTCCTATTTTTCGACCAATTTTGGTTATTTTCAGTCTGTAGACTAGAAAATCTTCAGAATTTTCTCAAAAAAGTTTTCAATCTTGTGGACTTAGAATAATTTTTTTGTCACTACTATTTTTTGACAAAAAATGAGCCTTTTCATGTTATATCAAAACTGCTCGAAATAGGGCGTTCTTGAAGAGGCTATGTGATTCTCCAAATCTCCTTGAAAGGTCATCCACTTCGACCAAAAATGAGTTTTCTTATAACCCTTTAAAATTACTCAAAATATGGTCCCCTTCTTGATGAAGGATGAGACTCTTTCATGATCCCTCAAAAACTACTCAGAAATGCAATTTTTTCAGCATAGAAAGACTCTTTTCTAGATCCTCCAAAACTCCTCAAAAAGTAGATCCTCTAATAGGATTTAGGACTCAGATAATTTTACAAGTCTATGGTTTGTCAAAGTGTAAGAGCCTAGGATCCTTTGATTTTTTAGTCAAAGATTATGTCCACGCTATTGAACTTCGAGGTGTATTTCTCCTTGAAATAATATAGTTTATTTCCTACCACGAAAGTCTAGTAGGTGATTTTATAACTTAAAAAAATTTTCTTTCTCCCAAACAATTAGTATTTTAAATTTTTTTTAAAATTATTATTTTTATTTATCCAAATCTAGATTGTGCATGTTGAGAGACCCTCTTGTGTCTCAACTTGGTAAACTAACATCGGAAGTTACTCACTCGGTAAAAAATGCAATGATATAATTCAGACTATTTAAAATTATATTTATGATGAGTACATTTATAATATAAATTTTTTTAATGTATTGTTGATAAAATATTTTCATGACCACGTTTTATGATTAATATTTTTTTTAACTTTAATTTTTATAATTAAAATTAAATAATTAAAATAATTTTTTTAAAATATAATTATTATATTGAAGCAATGTTTAAAACAAAGTGCTAGTTTATTGTTTAATTTAACTATGGTTAAATTTTGCTCAAATCAGTGGTAATTAAATATATACATTTTTATTTATATGATACATTAATTAAAAATTAATAATAAAATAACATTTTAAATTAAAATTAATTAATTTTATTATATATTAATAACTAAAATCATAGTTTATCTTAATAAATATATTTATTAACTTTAATTATTATAATTAAAAAATATTTTTTAAAATAATGGTTAAAATTGGACTTGTCATTAAATCAAGTTTATGATTTATTGATTCAACCGTGGTTAGACCATTGATAATTATATATATAATATTTAGCTAAAATTAATATAATAAAATAATTAATTTTATTATATTTAAAAAATAATATTATATATATTTAAAATGTGCTTTTTTTAAACAAAAAAGATATTAGTTTAATAGTAAAAAAATTTATTTATAATATAGTTTTTTAATATTTTAAAAAATTATAACATAATATTTTTGTTATTTATTTTTGTAGATTTTAATTTAA